CATATCAGATAATATAAAAATAATTAATTATCCTCTTTAAAGGGTTTGATATTGGAACCTTTAATCCCATCTGTAGTCTTTGCTGTCATGAATAGGCCTACTGTTTGTAAAAAAAGGACTAGTTGTATGAATAAAGTTTCTAAGAGAATAAAAAAGAAAAAGTAAGCATCTGTATACTTTGTTAATGATTCTGTGATCAATAACTGTAGCTAATGAAGGCAGCAAATACAAAGCAGAAAAGTATATTCATGCATGTTATAATAGTTGTAACTTTCCGTACTATAGAAGGATAAAATTTCTAATGAAGTGGTCTACCCTTAACTGGGCTGATATGACTAGATATATTGCTATAGACTCTGTTCAGATAGGCATCAGGATATGACATTTCTTTCCCTTTTGCTCAGGAAGCAACAGCTGTCACAACTGGTGAACGGTAGTTGCACCCTCTCCTTCTCTCCGCCCCCCCTTTTTTTTGATTTGTGATATATTATGTGGTTCATAATGGATCAAAAGATTTGATATGGGCTGTTAGCAATAAATCCACTGCCTAAAGAAAAGGCAGTGTAGAAAAGGCACCTACAAACCCTTTCTCCCAAAGAGTTATTAATAAAAGATAGCTCTAAGAATATATTGATACTAAACCAAGCAGATTCCCAAGACTTGAACTTTTCTGAAGTCAAGCTGAGCCCTTTATTCCCCATCTGAAAAACATCTTTGATCTTTGATGATTGATGTGCCTGATATGATAGTCAAATATATTATTTGTATCATTTATGTACATTTCAGATGTAGTAAATTCTAATGTGGATGTCTTTCTATACTCTTTCTGGAGACCACTAAGTCTAACTGACTATTATTGGTTTAACTGCATACAATTTCAACCTGTAGGTAGCCAATTTCAGTATTGATCATTAAGAGCGTACATCTGAAATTGTGACCAATCTTTATGGGCATGTCTCACCTCCTCAAAATTGAAAAATAAAAGTGCCCTCCTTGTGTGGAAACAGAAAAGAGTTAGTAAATAACTAGTTTTTGCTCAAATGATCTTACCACTTTCAAAGGGGAGTGTGAAAAACTAAGTGAAAGTAGCTAGTTATTGGCATTATCATATGCTCATACTAGCAGGAAAAAGTATAGCCAAAGAAAAAATGCTATATTTAGATTTTTCTGCCAAACATGAACTTGACAGAGTGTTGCTAAACTACTTGAGCTGATTCAAAATGCATTGGGAGTGTGGCAGGCCAGTAGGGGGAGCTCCTGTGTTGAGCCTCCCACTACTGGCCCACCACATGTGGTGGTAGAGGTGGAATCCGAATACCCTGCTGTATTAGAGGCATAAGTTGGGAAAAGGAATAGAGTCACTGAAAACCCTTGAGCAAACAATTTCTAATTTGGCATCAGGTCAACTGGACAGTGCAGATAGCTAGGATGGCTGACAAGTATGTTCACATGATGGTGGCCAACTTGAAAGAGCTGGTGAAAGAGGCCTTCATGTGAAGAAAGGGCTAAAGAAGGAAGAGATGATTAAACTCCTGTGTGACAATGACTCAGCCACAGAGTCACCTTCACGCACGCCAACTCCTGGGTCCTCCCCAGAATCACATCCCCACACACCAAATCCGGAGCCCTCTGAGGGATCACCCCCTGCAGAGGGGCGCTGGAGGTACCAGATGTGCTTGTTCTCTCTCTCCTCAGCTTCTAGCTGCAAGTATGAGCTGGAGCGTGAGAGGAAACAGTGTCAGTATGAGCTAGAGTTGAAAAGGATGCAGCACCAGAAGGAACAGCGTGAGCATGAGAAGGAACAGTGCAAGCATGAAGCTAAAGAGGTTCAGCTCAAGTGGGAGCATAAGCTCGCAGTACTCCAAATGCAGGCAAATGCTAACACCGCAGGTGCCCAGCCTGCATGAGATGCATTCTCCAGACTGAACCCCCCAATCTTCTCTCGCTACAAAGACGGGGATGATCCAGAAGTGTTCCTAAGCATCTTTGAAAACCAAGCGCACCAATGGAAGTTGCCAAAGGAAGAGTTCATGAAACACATGGCTGCTGTGGTCTAGGGCAACACGTCTGTGGTCCTAAACAGCCTGCCCTTGGAATCAGCAGATAACTATGATGCTTTTAAAAATGCCGTGTCTTCCAGGTTCAAGTTAGGACCGGATTATTTCTGGAAGAAATTCCGGAATATCCACCCACAACCCGAGAAGACAATGGCTGATTTTGCGGCCCTGGTGTGGAACACACTCCTTAAATTGGCAGAAGGAGCCAAGGCTGACAATTTAGAGAAGGCGCTATACCTCATGGTGCTGAACCAATTTTAT